AAGGAAGGAAGGAAGGAAGGAAGGAAGGAAGGAAGGAAGGAAAGAAAAGCAAGCAAGAAAGAACAATCACAATGATACATTGAACTTTCAAAAGGAAAGAATAGAACTGAGGCCACCAGAGGTGGGAAAGGGAAAAGAGCAGGGAGTAAGGCAGGAATTGGTAAAGGGCTATGAAAAACAATTATGTTGTGTAATGCTGAATATACTAATTATCCTGATTTGAGCATCATATATTGCACACAGGTATTGATATTCAATGCTGTACCCCACAGATATGTACAATCAACTATGTTTCAATTAAAAAAAAAAATTAAAATAAATAAATAAATCAATAAGCCATGGTGCAGTGGGGATAGAGAGGTCGGGATGAATTCAAACACTGTTTCTGAGAAGGAGTGACAGTACCTGGTGACTGACTAGGTGCAAGAGAGGAGGGAGATTTACAGTGTCACCAATATTTCTGGGTGGGTGGTGCAACTATGTGAGATACAAAACCCTGCAAGAACAGCCATTTGGAGTCATGTCGAATGCCACTAGGTCACTCCTGTCTGTGAGGAGATGTGTCATAGAGTACCTCGCGAGGGTGGCTGGGAGGGGCGTTGGGGGCTGGATGAGTCAGCCACTCGCTGAAGCAGTTGTGGGGTGAAGGTGGGAGAAGGAGCAGTGCCTGCTGGAAGGCGGGGGTCAGGGTGGAGAGAAAGACACTTTCTTCCCACAGAGGAGCCTTAGTCATGTTGTTGTAGAGAAGGGGAAGGCAGGAGGGAGGGAAAGGTAACAGGGCAAGTGACAGTAGAAACAATCAATGGGAAGCTCACAGCTAAGCCAATACCTATAAACTCTGACATACAGTCAACAGAATCATTTACCTATCTTCTGTGTAGAGATTACCTGTTGACCAGAAGACTGGGTCAAATTTCACGCTTGACAGAGCATATCATAACTACCAGCCAATACTTAATATTGGCTACTGCGTGACAGACCCTGGGCTACCTTACTAACAGTAACTCAGTTGTCCTCATAACAACCCCTAAAGTGTGTAACTATTTTTATCCTTATTTTACAAATGAGGAAAGAGAGGCACAAAGTGGTTAAGTAACTTGCCCACAGCTGTAAGTGGCAGAACCAAATTCAAACCAATGCAGTCAGGCTCTGGAGTCCATACCGCGAATCAACACATCATACTGTCCTCGGTGTGCCATCAGCATCTATCTCTGATGAAGCGTAAATGTTCGTGCGTAATAATCATGCATAATAAGGGTGTCTGCATATCTTCCTCCTGCTTTTGGTGGTCTTGCAGTCAAAGACCTTATTTTTTAAAAAGAACCTATTTTTAAAGTTCTTACCTGCAAAAATCAGATGGGAAGATATAAAGGACTTCATCTTTGGTTATTAATGGATGAAAAGAATCTCCATCTGTTCCATTAATCATGTTGCACCTGTCTGTGGCCCACCACTCAAGTGACCTACAATTGATGAGCACAAGAAAGAGAAAAGATGACCAAATTTGATTTTAGATTCTTTTAAATGGTCAGGCTTTTCAAGATTTAACTGAAGCTGGCTACCCACAGTATCTTATTCATACACAGACACAAAAGTGTTAGGGAGTAGATCAAGGGGGAGAAGTACGCCCCGACCCCCAAATCAATTGTGATAGAGGTAATAGCTAACAACCCCTCTTTCCTTCTTCTAGAAAAGTGTATTCCACGTAGAGGTTTAGAAATACTGATTTACTGAAAGCAGTGATCCAATTTACCATTAATAATAGCCTCATTCATAGCCAGTCCACGGACAGACAAACTCTGTACAGGTGTGTCTGGCTCTTTAATATTCATGACAGAACATTAACCTAGTCTACCCTCTGAGGAGTTCTCTTTTCCAAAAATAACATATGACTTCTCTTAGAATACAAGCAAGCTCAATACTGAATTAAATTCATGCTTGCTAAAAGCACAACTGAGATAGCAGGGTTTTATAATTAATTTTTTAAATAATGGTACATGCAATGGACTGAATATTTATGTCCCTCTCCAAACTCATTTGTTGAAGTCCTAATCTCCAAGGTGATGGTATTAGGAGGTGGGGACTTTGGGAGCTATTAGGTCATGGGGGGGAGTGGCTCTGATAAATGAGATTAGTCCCTTCCACTATGTGAAGTTACAGAGAGGACGGCCACCCGTGAGGAGGGAGGCCCTCACCAGACACCAAGTCTGCCAGTGCCTTGATCTTGGACTTCCCAGCCTCCAGAACTAACAGAAATAAATTTCTATTATTCATAAGCCACTCAGTCTATGGCAATTTGTTAGAGCAGCTTGAATGGACTAAGACAGTACAAGATTCAAAAGAAAGGAAAAGGCAGACAATAAGTAGTAATTCTCCCAACTTCCGGTCATGATGGCACCCTGAGTTCATGAACTGAGGGCCTCTTCTAAATAAAAACACAAGGAGGTGGTTTATAAAAGACAAAAAGAGTGCATCTAGTAGGCCTACACTACATCAAACACAAACATCTACCTAGACAAAAAAAAAGATGATAAATGCAAAGCGGTGGACAGGACTGAAGCCACCACACTGCGGCTCTGGAAGCAGGAGACAGAACTGCAAGTTCAGCTCCTGGGGAAAGTAAGGATTAAAAGTGGTCCACAGGGGCTTGAATTCACAGTGGAAGGGGCAGAGATTCACTGCTCATCAAGAGAGCCCACAAAAAGCAGCTTCTACTTGCTGTCTGGACTTAAATGTGTACAAAGCATAGTGTCTGGGGAGGCAGGGAGACTCAGACAGCCTCACAACCAGAACCTGCGCCAAGCTGCCTGCTGATTTCCCCACCATGACTGTGGGATGAAAGGCCCACCTGGATATACTGGTTCTGACGGGGTGCTCCAGAGCGGCTACATGAAGGCAACTGCAACACTTACATGGGGAGGGTGAGAGGATAGACACAGACACACACACACACACACACACACGCACACACATACAGATAGGCAACAGACTAACCTCCCAACAAAATAATTCTGCAAATCAACATTTGTTTTTCAAGTTGGAGGAAACTTATGCAAAGGGACAGGCAATAAAATCAACAATGAGGAGATGAATTCACGGCTACATGAAGGCAACTGCAACACTTACATGGGGAGGGTGAGAGGATAGACACAGACACACACACACACACACGCACACACATACAGATAGGCAACAGACTAACCTCCCAACAAAATAATTCTGCAAATCAACATTTGTTTTTTAAGTTGGAGGAAACTTATGCAAAGGGACAGGCAATAAAATCAACAATGAGGAGATGAATTCACTTTAGAAAAAATAAAATAGAACAATCTGGCTAATACCTTAAATAAGTACGTTGTTTAGAATCCTCAAAGAGACAAGTGAAAAAATAACATCCTTAAAATAATGGGAAATTATTAAAAAATAAAAAGGAAAGAATGAAATAAGAGTAGAAAGACACAAAAACAGAGAAAATTAGAAATCTTGGAAATAAAAAATAGTTTCTGAAGGAAAAACTCAATGTCAGGATAAAACTCTAGACTGTACATAGTTGAAGAGAGAACTGAAGAGTTGGAAGGTCATTCTAAGGAATTTACACAAATATAAGCTCAAGAAAATTAAAGGATCAAGGTACAGAGAATAGACTGAGAAGCTCCAATAAACGTTTAAGAGGAGTTTGGGGGCTGGGGGTTGGGGGGAGTGAGAATAGGGAAAATAACAAAGAAATAGTAATTGAAGAGATAATTGCTGGAAGTTTTCCAAAATTTAAGGAAGATATAAGGCCGTGGATTGACAGTATGCCCCAAGGGCCAAACAGAATAAATGAAATAAGTTCAAATCTGGATATACTGCAATAAAACTGCAGAAGATCAAGGAAAAACCCAAAGTTAGGGGAGTAATATCATCATAGTTTTGAACTGTCAACCTAGAATTCTATACCTGGCTAAAATATTTCAAAACTGAGAGTGAAATAATGACATTTTAAAATATGCAAAGTCTTTGAGAGTTTACTACCTACAGATCCTTACTGAAGAGTCAGTAATGCTGGGTTTCCCATCCTATTAACATGTTGGGCTTGAGAATTCTCCGTAGTGGCGGCTGTGCCGTACACTGTAGGATGTTTAGCAGCATCCCAGGCCGCCACCCAGTAGATGCCAGTAGCACCCCCCCAAGTTGTGACAACCAAAAATATGTCCAGACATTAACAAATGTCCCCTGGGGGACAAATCTGCCCCTGCTTGAGAACCATTGTACTAATAATCTTTAGCAAGAAGAAAAATAAACTCTGGGGGAAGATGTACAAAGGAAAAGAAAAATAATTAATAAAATATGTTGATAAATTCAACTAAGCATTTACTATAAAAAGAAAGACTTTTTCGATCAGCTCAGTTGGTTAGAGCACAGTGTTGTAATATCAAGGTCGAGGGTTTGGAGCCCCATGCTGGCTAGCCACTAAAATTTTTTAAAAATGAAGTTTTTACTTATATTTACATTTCTAAGAAAGCAAAACAAGTTGTAGACAAGAATAACAATGAACATGTTTGAGTATGTTAATAAATGGGTCAAGTTATGGTCTTGTTTGGAAGGAGAAGAGAGACAAAATAGCTTTAGATTTTGTTGGGGGAAATTGTTGTTAAATATGAATCATACAAATCTAAGGGTGGAAAAGAATATAAAAATAAGTCCAAACTGTATCTGTAACTACAATAGGTACATAAGAGGATTAAGCCACCCTCCAATTAAAAGATTGGAAAATAAGAGATTTGGTTTAAAAGAAAGCCTGGCTATATCCTGTTTACAAGTACGCTTCCCTCCCAGCCCAGTACCCCGGCCACCCTGTGCCCCTCCAGAGGCAGCACGCTGCCAGTTTCTTATAGATCCCTTCATGGATCCTGTATATTTGGGGTATGTGTTTAAATATATATTAGGTACATGTAATGTGTGCTTTTAAAAATTCAATAAATTATTTATCTGAAAATAGTTTTAGATTTAAGAAAAGTTGTGAAGACAGTACAGAGAGTTCCCTCTATTCCGTGCCCTCTACTCCTGCTATTAGCATCGTACATTATCATGGCACATTCGTTACAACTAACGAAGTAATATTGATACATTACTATTAAGTAAAATCCATACGCTATTCAGATATCCTTAGTTTTTCCCCAATGTCCTTTTTCTGTTCCAGGGTTCATCCAGGACACCACATGACATTTAATTATTGTGTTTCCTTGGGCTCCTCTGGGCTATCATAGTTTATCGCACTTTCTTTGTATTTGATGACCTTGACAGTTTTGAGGAGTACTGGCCAGGTATTTTGTAAAATGTCCCGCCTTCAGGATTTGTCTGGTGTTTTTCTTGTGGTTGGAGTGGGGTTATGGGCTTCTAGGAAGAAGATTCCTGAGGCAAAGTGCCACTTCCAACCCATGATCACCATGCCACCAACATGACTTACAAGTGATGTTAACCATGATCACCTGGCTGAGGTGGTGTTTGCCAGGCTTCTCCACTGCGAGGTTACTTCCCCCACCTCCACACTGTATTCTTGGTACGTTTATTGACATGTGTATGTATAGACATTTTTCTTCATTTTAATTTTTTTTAAAAAGTAACGTACTAGGTACACTATTCAGCATGTTGCTTTTTTCTTTAATAATTTTTAGAGAAAGGCTGTCTTGTTCTTTTTACCAGATGGACAACTGATTCAAGAGAAGCACTGATGGGGCAAGTTAATGATTAATTTCCCAGGTTTTCTAGAACCTATATTTGCATCAATTTAGGTCAGCAGAAAGAAGTACAGCTCATGGATATTAGCTAAGTTTTCTGTCTAAATATTTCAGTGAATTATTAATACTGGAAATAATCATATAAAAATATTTTTATACATATTTTTTTAAATGCTGTTGAAGTTTTTCACTACATTACCTAAAGTATCTTTTATAAAAGATCCACAGGATGAATTCCTCCCAGAATTTGAAGACAGGATGAAATCTATTTTTCTTGAAATAATATAGGCAATAAAACCCACAAAGCTCGTTGTATGTCCTTTTTTGCTTGGATTGCTGGGAAGCTCAGAAGTAAATTTAATGTTCAAGAACAGATCTACTACCTCAGAGCCTGAAGAATTAGCCTCCTTTCCCCTCAAAGGTTTCCAATTTCTCAGACTTAAAAAAAAATCATCTTGTTTTATATGTAGCTTTATTGTAAGCTGCCTCACCTCCTCTCTGGAATTAGTTTATTTATAAATTATAGGTATTAAAATAAAAATATTTTTTAAATGATATAATACTGAACTCAAATATATTTCATTTTTAGAGTAAAATACACAAACAATCCACAATCATGAAATTAAATTAAAAGAGAACCTCTCCTCCTGTATCTCTGCAAAACAAGTAATGTTTGAAAAATATTTGTGCTGTAGCTACTACGTATCACTCATTGACTACTAAGCAAGAGTGAGACTTTTCACTAGCTTATATGTAATTCATGCGTGTCCATGATCAATCTACAAATCATTAATATTTAATTTGTAAAGTATATTACCCCCATCTTGATTTCTACAACAATTACAAGAATATTTACACATGTATACATTTTTTCACCCAAAAAATGAATGATAAAATTTTTTAAGCAACATAGAAATACATATCCAGTTTAAATTAAAATTGAAAAATAATTATACTGGTAAATCCTTAGACTTACGTTTTTCCATTCCATTCAACAATCTTTGTAAAGTCAAGGTAATTGTCTTCTCCAGTTAGAAAAACATAGTCTCCATCATTAGTTCCATTTTTCTGAAAATAAATGAATATGGTAATTTAACTGTTATGGTTAATTTTACACCAACTTGTTCAGGCTACAGTGCCCAGTTATTTGGTCAAACACTAGACTAGATGTGGCTGTATTTTGTAGATGTGATTAACATCTACAATCAGTTAACTTTAAGGAGATTACCCTTGATAATGTGGGTGGGTGGCCCTCATCCAATTCGTTCAAAGCCTTAAAAGCAAAAACTGAGGATTCCTGAAGAAAAAGAAATTCTCCTTGAGACTGCAACACAGAAGTACTGCCTGAGTTTCCAGTCTGCCCTACAGACCTGTCAGCCTTCACAATCACATAAGCCAATTTGTTAATATCAGGGTCTCTCTCTTTCTCTCTCTCATGTACACATATCCTATTGGTTCTGCCTCTCTGGAGAACCCTTACTGACACAGAAACTAACAAATTTAATCTTCATGAAACTGTCCTAGATAGGCCTAATTGCTATATGAGATTGTGGCAGGACTAGGAAACACAGTGACTATTTTGCTAAATGCCATATTAACTGTATTATTATTTTATGGCTTTAAGAAGTATGAACCGCAGGCTGGTTAGTTAGCTCAGTTGGTTACAGCGTGGTGTTATAACACCAAGGTCAAGGGTTTTCAGGTTCCCTTACCAGCCAGCTGCCAAAAAAAAAAAAGTAATCATGAGCCCAATTGAAAAATAGGTAAAGGATCTGAAGAGACATTTCTCCAAAGAAAATACACAAATGGCCAAAATGCACATAGAAAGATGTTCACCATCATTAGTCATTAGGGAAATGCAAATCACCACCACAATGAGACACCGCTTTACACTTGACTGCAATTTTTAAAAAAAGAGAAATTAACAAGCGTTGATAAGGATGGGGAGAAACTGGAACCTTTATACATTGCTGGTGGGAATATAAAATGTTGCAGCCATGACTGCAATTTTTAAAAAAAGAGAAATTAACAAGCGTTGGTAAGGATGGGGAGAAACTGGAACCTTTATACATTGCTGGTGGGAATATAAAATGTTGCAGCCACTATAGAAAATAGTTTGGCAGTTCCTTAAAAAATTAAAAAGAATTCATATGACCCCCAAATTCCACACCTATGTATATACTCGAGAGAATTCCACTCCAAGGTATATACCCAACGTCATACAAAAATATGTATGTACACAGTGTTTGCCAGAAAGGGGATGCAACCCAAATGTCCACCAACTGATAAATAGATAAACAAAATGTAGTAACAATACAATGGAATATTTCTCAGCCATACAAAGGAATTAAGTACTAATACATGTTACAACATGGATGATGCCTGAAAATATTATGCTAAATAAAAGAAACCAGACACAAAAGGTTACATATTTTATGAATCCATTTATATAAAATGTCCAGAATAGGCAAACCCATAGAAAAAGTAGATTAGTGGTTGCAGGGGCTTGGGGGAGCGGGAATCGAATCTAGTGCTAATGGGGTATGCAGTTTCTTTTTAAGATGATGAAAATGTTCTGGACTTAGACAGTGGTGGTGGTTGTACAACCTTGTGAACTGTAATTCTTGTGAACTAATAAATACTGAATTGTACACACATTTTAAAATGGTGAATTTTACGGTAAGTGAACTATATCTCAAAAAGAAAAAAAAAAAGCCTAAGTCCAGGTCCAGGACCCAATTATACAAAAACAGCTGCACTAGAAGACAGTGGCATTAATATAGTCTTATTTTCAATTAAGGTTTCTTCATTTGTTCGAGGGTACCTCACGAAGTTAATAGAAAGATTTGTAAACTTTATCTCTATTTTTTCATGAGGTTTTTGAAGTCCTTCATATAGTCTCTCCAAGTTACACTTCTTAAGGGCACGTACAGACTCTACACATTCTTACAAATCCTTTATTTGAGGATAGAGCTATGATTTCTGGAAAACAGCATAAGTATTAGCTATTCTATAATAATAAAGTAATAGGAGTGAACAATTATTGAGTATTTATAATATTCCTGGCACTGATCTAAAATGTTTATATGAACTATCTCATGAAATCCTCACAAAAGCTACACGAGATAGTGTGGTTATAAGCCTGATGAGTTCAATAATGTGAAAAAGAGAAAGCAAGCTGTATAATAAAAATCATCTCAGAAATACTGAGATATTAGGAACAGATCTACCTGACAGATGGACTGAAGCCACTGGGGAAAAAAGGGCCTTGAGGGAACTTTTGTATCCTTCCGTAGGAGGATCTCCCGAAATATTTCCAGAAGGGAGGTCTAGTCACAGCTTAATATGAAATTCGTGCTTCTCTGGTTCTGTGGAAGCTGTATTTCTATGAGGTGGGACCTTCTAGGAAACATCTATCTGGTCTGCTCCCCCAGAGTGAAGCATTTAGGGTTGGTGAGACTCTACCTTTAGGACTCCCGCCTCTTGCATAGATAATGTTTAAAAACTCACTTACAATCTTGCTTGAACAACTTCTAAGTTTTGTATGCCCTTGAAGGCCCGGGGGCAGAAGTACCACCATATGCCCCAGAGGAACTGAAATGCTAGGGGATTACATGATAAGAGTTAAATTCTCGGATACGCAAAGACAAAAAATAAATACAAATTTAAAGATGAACAAACTTCCACAAACCCAGAGCCTATCCCTAATCTAACACTTTTTTCCCGAGGTTAATTTTTGTCTTTTACCAACTTCCCAACTATCCATTGCAGTAAAGATTTTTTTTTCTTCCAAAAAAATACTTTCTTACTTTTCACATACTCTACAAGACATCTAGAACTCCTCACGATTTTGGTCTTCTCCTAGAAGAAACCCAAAGTTAATATGAAATCTGGCTTGGAGTGCCCCTTCCTCACCGTCTACTGAACAAAGAGCTCTAAAAAGAAAAATCAACTTACCCCATAGAATAGGCCAAAATAGGGAGAGATGTCAGGTCTGAAAATATGGATGAGGGACAAGATCTCATCTTTGTAGCCCCAGAGCAACTCGTCGACTGTGTGAGTCATGAAGAGATTCTGCTGATAGGCTCTCAGCAAGGCCTCGATGATCTGCTTGAAGAAGTGGACCTGCACCCATTCTATGAGGGTCTGAGGAGCAGAGGCAAATTAAGACAGCAGTGTTCCCTCCAAAGCACCCACTCCCTTCTACTATCTCTCAGCAAAGGGGGCTGGAAATTTCAATGTAAATGTTGAGATTAAATAGCTGAGAAATCAGCCAGCAAGTTCTGTCTGAGGAGCAGAGGCAAATTAAGACAGCAGTGTTCCCTCCAAAGCACCCACTCCCTTCTACTATCTCTCAGCAAAAGGGGCTGGAAATTTCAATGTAAATGTTGAGATTAAATAGCTGAGAAATCAGCCAGCAAGTTCCTTTCTGGCTGCATGTGGAAGAAAAAGACCAGTCATTGTCCTTTCTCAATATTAGGCTTTGTAAGTGTGAGCTTAGCATCCTGTCCTGCAGGCGCTGAGTTATTATTCACACACCCCAGAAAGAAAAAGGAAAAGCTCATATAAACACATTGACATCTTTGGTCACAAGGTGGCACCACTTTCCTCCCGAGCAGGGCCAGAGACATAGCCCTCATTATAAGCCCCACACCAGGAGGCAGCAGGGCAGGGCCAGTCTAGGATCTAATACTAGGATCTAATACCAGGTCTAGGATCTAATATTCGCTAGGTCCTGGGTCCACCATCAGTGTGCAGCTGCATATGGAGTAGTCATCTAGGAGATAGAGTGGGAAGGGGGTGTATAAATAGATAAGAAAGTTTTATGTGTCTTGGTATAGTGTAGGTGTAATATAGGTGTTATTATCAGGTGGAATTGCCATTATAAACAAAGCACAATGAAATCACAGTAGGCTGTAATCAAAAGCCCAGTCTCTGCTATTTGAAAAGTGGGGGGGGGGGGGT